TACTAACTAATTCTCGTGTTGGTGCTATAACAAGAGCACCCAATCCATCTAATTGGGTCCATTTGTTTCTATATAGTAGTTCAATCAGCTTTTAAATATTAATTGATTTATAAATTAATAAACATGTCTATTAATTTTTTTTATTAGTTAAATAATTCTCTATCGATTTTTGACAAAAAGATAAAGTGTTTGATTTACCGGAATGAGGAAAGCCAGAGTTTTACCACTGCCGGTTTTAGCTGCTCCTAATATATCTTTTCCTTTTAATGCAAGTGGAATTGCTTTTTGCTGAATTTCAGTCATTTCTATAAAGTTTGCTTGCTGTAAGCCCTCAAGCGTAGGAGGTGAAATTGGTAGTTCATTGAACTTTTGAAAGCTGGCTTCGACATTCTAAATTTTTTTAAAGTAACTTAGTATAATTCTACAATTAATTAGATGGTAAATGTTTTTCAGCCTCTTGATATTTTTTAAAAATTATGCAACTTAGTTGCTCGATAAATATTCTACTATTAAAGCTTTAATTCATTAAATTATTAAAAGTTAATAATTAGATTTAATGTAATAATATTTTGTAAAAGAAAAATAAATTTTTTTACCAATTTTTTGGTACTATTGGACACATTGCATAAACATCTCCGTTATCAAATAAAACATATACAGTAAAATTAGACCAGCCTTTATTACCTTGACCAAAACAAAAAGAAACTGCTTTTGGTATTTCAGCACCAAAAGAAAAAGTTTTTTCTGGATTTTCACTGAAACAAAATTTCTGTTCTGGCTCATTACAATCATTAGATATATTGTACATCCTATCATTTCACAGATAAATAAGTATAAGTAAAAATTTTGTTTTGTTTATAATAAGAATTATATAAATAAATCTAATATATTGCCTTAATATTGCATCTTCAGTCAAAACCAATAAATGAGGTATTCTAGTTAGTGGATGCCATAATATCTTTGAAATAGGACTTGATCCTTCCATATGATGAAAAGATCCAATTAGATATGTTCTATTTATTTTGATAATTATTGTATAAAAATTCTTACACACAATCAACTTTTTTTTCTGATGCTGATAAATTAAATTTAACTAATGGTAAGCGAACTACTGCCAATTCGTAATCACCAGCAACCGAAATCACATTCCCTTTTTCTTTAAAATTTACTATTAAAGATCTAATTTTAAATTTAATTTTTGGTGTATTAAGTACTATATATTTAACATTCAACATCCATTTTGGTACATGATGATGACTATCATTATCGTC